GGGGAAGAGCAGCCCCTTGTCACTCACCTCCAGCTTGGAGGAGCAGAAGGAGGGAGAGCAGGAGGGGGCCGAGAGCCCCCTTCATTCTTGCTGGGGCTTGGGCAGTACTGGGGGGGCAGGGGGCTTTGGACCCAGGTCCCCAGCCACATAGTCCTGGCATCTGGGAGGTCCCTGTGGCAGGGCTAGGGGAGCAGGGGACTGTGGGTGGGGAGTGAGAGGTAATAGCATGGGCAGGACACTGGCATATTAGGGCTGCTCAGCACCACAAAGCAACAGAAGGGATGGCTGCCACTGGACCCACATGCTGGTGAACAAAAGGGGCAGATGGAGCTCTGATTTTTCAAGATAATAAAAAAAACACAAGATCAAATGCCAAAATGTACGAGTACTTACAGTTTATTTTTTATAGCGATTGAGGTACCAGTAGGCTTCCACATTCCTTTAAAATTGTAAGTATATCAATAAAACAGTATGTTCAACTGATACCTATATACATAGCGGTGGTTCATTTTAAAACTGCCGAAAAGTGCAGATTTGGGGGGCTTTGATCAGAAGTGTCACAATTTTTATCACAGAAATTATGAATTTTTAAACAGAGAAAACCAGGACCTCTACTCATGACATTCATTAATAGCTAAGAAAATACAGCCTAGATAAAAGTACTGTAAAGTGGTGTAACAGGGTGTGAAGGTCTCCTGTTACCTGAAGGGAAGAAAGCAGCAGGCTAAAACATTCAGCAGACAGTTGAATTGGGGCCAGCTGCATTTTGGAGAAGCAGCCAGGAGAAACCTGCAGCAGCAAGGATGCAGACCTTGAGGCCTGGGACTGCTACATAACCAAGGGGGACTGCAGGGCAGGGGAGTCCAAACAGCTTGTTGGGTTGAACAGAAATTCCATGACCTATTTTCAGACAGCCTTAAAAGGGGAAATGCACCCTGTAGAGTTTGAGGCAGAGGAGCCCTTAGGGTTGTACAGAAAGGAAAGGCACCTAGAAAGAGACTGTCTCGTCCTCTTAAGACAGCCTGAGGCTGGGTCCTGACAGCAGGCGAGTCTAACCACTAGAGGGCATCAGATACCAGGACAGACTTCCTGTGCCTGTCACAGGTGGATATAACTGGCTATATCATCATACTCTGCAAGTATTCCTCAATGGCTCAATTTCTAGTTGGTAAGAGGTATCACGTGCAGTTTGCCAGGGCTTTGTCACTAGTCTGGTATTGTTTAACATCTTCATTAATGATTTCGATAATGGGAGCGAGTGAACGCGTAGCAAATTTGTAGACAACAAAAATGGGTGAATTTGCAGGCACTCTGAAAGGTAGGGCTAGGATCCAGAATGACCTGAAGAGACTACAAAAGGTGGTCTGTAATTACTCAGATGAGTTTCAACAAGGACAAATGCAGAGTCCTACAGTAGGGATGGAGTAACTGCATGCTGAAGTAGACTTGGGAATGATTGGCCAGGCTGAAGTACTTCAGAAAAGCACCAGGAGGTTACAGTAGACCAGTAGTGTGTAATCTTTTTCCCCGGTGGGTTGAATGGAGAATGCCTGGTCCAGCTGTGGGCCAGACAGCGATTCTTATCCAACACCCATGGCTGGCATGGCAGGCAACATCTATCCACAAAGAGGGGGGCAGGGGGCCTCCCAGTCTGAGCTTAGCCCTGGAGGAAGGAGGCGGCAAGGAAGGGCCATGACCCAACCAGGGGGATGAAAGGGAGTATGGCTTAGCTCCCACCCAGCCCCACTGGGGAGTAGAGGGCAGGGGGCGTGCAGCATGGGCCAGCCCCAGCCCAACCCTGCAGCAGAAGGGGATGCAGCCTGGTTCTAACCAGGCATATGGGGCTTGGGGGTTTGGAATTTGGCAGGGGGAAGTGTGACCATATTAATGGCCACCACTCCCCTAGCACCAAACTTCCCAACCCATGGGAAGCCTGATGGGCCAGATGCGATGGCTCCACAGGCGACATTTGGCCTGAGGAATGGAGGCTGAGCACCCCTGCAGTAGACCATATGTTAAGGAGAAGCCAACATCGTGTTCTTGCTGCAAAAAAACACAACAGCATCCTGGGTTGCATTAACTGGAGGGTTGGTTGCAAGTCAAGGGAAGTGATTCTTCTGCTCTATTTAGTACTGGCGAGGCCTCACTTGGAGTACTGCGTCTGGTTTTGAGTCTCACACTTCAAGAAGGATGCGGACAGGTTGGAGAAAGTTCATTGGAAAGCAACAAAAACAATTAGAGGCCTGAAATATGAGACTTATGACAAAAGGTTTTAATGGTTATTCAGTGTGGAGCAGAGACAATTGAAGGGGATTTGACAGCAGCCTAGGAATACCTGAAGGGTGATTAGAAAGAGGATGGAGATGGGTTTTTCTCTATGGCTGTAGGGGACACAACTAGGAGCAATGGCCTCAAGATGCAATAGAAGTTTAGCTTGGAGGTTAGGAGGAACTTTCTGACTACAAGGGTGGTCAAGGACTGAAACAAGTTACCTAGAAAAATTGTGGAATCTCCATTGCTAGAAGTTTTCAAAAGCAGGTTAAACATATACCAGATACATGTGAAGTATATACTTACATAATGAGCACTGCTAACCTACAGCGTTACCATGGCTTGAAATGATGTTGACTTTTCATTAGGTTGGGCCCAAGCACTGTATAGTAAATCATGAGCCTTTTGGCTCTGGACTAATATAATGCATAGTTTATATTCTCTATAAGTAGGTACAAAAGTGGTGCTTAAAAGTATGTTTGTGGAATAGCTGTGCTAAAACTTGCAGCAGTTTAAAAAAAAAGTGTGTTAATTAATCCACGGGTTTTTTTCAAATTTGTCCCTCACATCCACATGCTCAGGGAGAGCAGAGTCTGGCAGTAGGGGGAAAGGGGGAAGTAGGAGGAGCTGCAGGGGGAAGAAGTTTAGGGGGCAGAGGGCTAGGGGGCCACCTGATAACCCCTGAGATCTATTTTTCCTGCTGTAGCAGTGAAAGTGGGACAAAAATCAAGACAAACCTCCAATAATTAGATTCTATACCTGGAAAATTATAACTAATTTATAGTTTTTTTCATATATAGAAACTAATTGTTGAGGGGCTCATCTTATATCAATGTAAATACAGTATGTTATGAAGAAAAAATAGGTAATTTTGAACTAAAATGTTTCAAAATTATACAGAATACACCAGCTACATTAATTTATCTATTTTTAGTAATTAAGATGCCTACCTTTCCCCATCTTCTGAAACCAATTCAGGAGTAGAATCAGATTGTCTGTGAGCTGCCGGTACAGCTTTAACTGGAGAAACTGACTGTACGCTGATTTTATCAGGAAGCGATGGAGAACCTTTGGTCCGATTTAGTATCACATTTTGCAAGTTTGCACCTTGAAGATTTTCCTGAAGCGAAGAAAAAAAACGAGGCACCATCACAACTGTATTCCAGCCTGTTCACATCCAGACCTCTTCTGATGAGTCAAAATGCCCTAGATTTCAGATATGCTCTCTTTTCAGTAGAAAAGCATGACTTTTTTTGGTTCTTAGTTACCATTATTTAATGTTTTTTGCTTAAAAATAAATCTGTCATTATTAAGCTGGAGTATCTTTAAAATTAATCTTTTGCTATTGTAAAGATTTATATGACAGAAGAGCAGCTATCAAATGGTAAGTAATATGCTAAGAAATTAAATATTATAATTAAGTTAGCCTGTCAAATATATCTAATGAATACAAATCCCATTTATTCTTTCTTATTTGGTAAGCCATGCTTAGCTCCACTTAAAATTGTAGTTCTGGATCATACAGCTAAAGCACAGAACCCTCTCTCTTACTAAACATTTTTGTGAACCTCCCATAAGGACTCAGATATTTCCACATACTGTCAGTTGCTTAGATAAAATGAACACTCATTTATTTTACCAGCCTAAACATTCAGTTCAAGCTTATATAATGAACAAACCATGGGTTTAATGCCTATTGCACGCAATAGTTCCTCTAGTCTAGTAGGGCATGGAGGGAAACGGGTTAAAATTCAGCAGCGATACAAGCATGGGACAGGAGCAGATAATTTGTTACAATGGTAATAAAAAGTCAGATCTGCAGCATCAGCTAGTATGAGTTTGGCTATTTTAATGTTAAACTCCCTTGTTGTACACACTGTCTGAACACTAAGCTACTACTGTTACTCCACTGTACATGTCCCTTTGCAATAAACATCTATGTTATCTGTACAGTCCGGTTTATGTTCGGCATGAATAGGTGACCGCAGGAAGGTACAAACTGATAATCTGGTTCCCAAAAGTTCTCTGAAGTCTTTAGGGTTCACTCATTAGTGAACCATATCCATATATGATGCTTTTCTTCTCTGCTTAAAAAACTGCAAGATGTAAAAACCAGTTTTCTAAACACAACTGAAGACAAGGTCCCCATGTCCACTGCATATGCAATTCTTTCTTCAATAAGATTTTGCTAGACTTTTTTGAGATTTCTCTCTCAAATGCAAATAAATCCAAACTTTGTGCTAGACATGAGACTCTCTTTGGACATAAACACATTTCCCCCTAAAATTTAGGAGATTTTTTAAGGGGAATTACAGCAGTAGTTAATATAAAGGAGAGAAAGAGTGGTATTTGTAGTTCCATTCTTCCCAATATTGGCCAAAAAAGTTTCAGAATGACAACCTAAGAAAAAGCAAATTTGACAACATGCCAAAACTTTCTTGCATGCTAGAATTGTTTTGCTGTTAAATACAAATATTTTAAAAATCCCTAATGCAAATGTTCAATATTTAGTTTTTGCTTTACAAAACACATTCAAAAGTTTCATTGTAAAAAGAAACAAATGTTAAATAGCAGAATAAAATATTTCTGCCACAAACTCTTTAAATTCTGGCATGTAACATTTGCCAGTGTACAAAGTATATAATATTTATAGAAATTAAATTACAGTTCTATAAAGAAAAATAAGAACACTACGGCTTAAGCTATATTTGGCTAAACCCACAAGCCTATGTTAAATCTTTGGGACCAATTATCAGTTGTTATAAAAGCTGTCACTGCACCAATAAAGGAAAATGAAGATCTGACAGTTTACTTGAGTTGAACTGTTCCCCTTAATTTAACAAGCTTATTGAAGATCTTTATGCAGGTACACAAACAGTCAGAAGTAGCACCCCACTACAGATTTGCAAAACCTTCCTTAGTCCTCAGAGAACCTCTCAAGAGATTTTCTATTTCAAGTGAAGCTCTGAAATAGCCCAAAACCTTGTAAAAATTAATACTTCCTTAGGTAATCTTTCTAGTCGTACAATATTCAGACCTCTGCATGAAATGCTTATGTTCCATTTATTGGCTGAGTTTTTAAGATATTGAACAGCACTTTCAGTTTTACCATCTAAAGATCTCTACACAATTCCATTCGTGTGGCAATGAATATGTTCATATGAACATACAGAATTTAAAGAAGTGCCATAAAATGGCAAGCCAGCCATAAAAATATTTCACAGATAATGCAGAATACTTATGGCTGGTTTGTACAGTGCCTTAAACTGAAAGTGTGGAGCATTCAAGGCTGCCTCACAGCCGATGCCAACAGCCCAGGGTCTCCAATTGGCTTGACACGCCTGATAATCAGCTGTCAGCCCCAGCTCTGGGGTCTTACACTCACCCTGGCGGGATCTCAGGGCTACCTTAGGCATTCCTTATAAATGCATTACAAACGCAAGCAAAAGCAATTTAACCTTCAAAATTACTATCATTGTTACGTTTTCATATTATGCATTATAACAAATTGTTTATGAAAGTGCCCATCATTTCACGATTAATTGCTAATAATATCTACATGACCATATATCTTGTACAATACCTTATGAGTGACCATTTTTGTCAATATTTTCTTCTGAAATGTTATCACAGCATTAATACGTCTCTCAAGCTTTGATATTTTTTTCTACACAGAAAGAAAAAAAATACTACTATAAGTGTTAACTTGAAATATTACATACATTCATATACTGTTCATCACATTTAGAGGGCAAAACATAACAAAAAGTGCAACTAAACTAAACTACAAAAACATTTAGAAACTGCTGATCTTTATGCGATATAATATAGGAATTAAAAAGCTTTTGGAAAATTGATACTGGGTTGCATGATTACTTTTTCAGTGCACATAAAACTGCATAATTGAGGTATACAAATGTTAAAGTATTTCTGAAAACTGAAAACCTTGAAGAAATGCAGTCATGCTTCTAGGACAAACATACAGCATTTGATGCAAACAAAACAAAACAAAAAAACCCAACTTACTAGGAACGTAATAGCTATTTCCTCATGTTTTCTTCGGCATTGCGTTTGTTCAACTCTTCCATTTAAACGTTCTATTTTATGGTTAAAGGATTCATCATTTAAAATACCCATCCGCTCATAAATCAAAAGTTTGACCTATAATGAAGAAAAAGACTACTTTTCCAAACAAGAAATCATTTTTTGCTGAAATAATGAATATATTCAAATACATTTATTAGCCATTAGTTTTAATACTGCTTCATTTTTTACATAGTTAAAAATTAAACCTATGCACCATCATTGCACACATTATAAATGTGATATTTTATGCTTTGGACAGGACAACAATCATGACACTTGGGAGGCAGGGTTCAATGATTCTCATTATGGCGGTATTATCTGTCTGCGTGTAGTAAATCAGAGCAAGGCATATTTATAGTTGAACCTACAAATGTTTATAGGTGCAAAGCATTGTTGAATGAGTCGTGACAACATTTTTGTCCTTTTTGGGTTGAGAATCAGAAACTGAAAAGGGGCTGGTGCTGCTTTTGAGTTAAAAAAAGAACTGATGGCGAGCAAATGAGACTTGTACTCCTGGGAAGTAAACATTTTCTATGAGACCACAAATGTTGTGTTATACTGGTTTAGATAAGGCCAGAACTAAAACTTAAAAAAGTCTCTAGTACAGCTATACTAGCAAACTCTGCTAGCATAGGCATGCTTTATGATTGACAAAGCATACCAGTATGTTTTATGCTACTACCAGAGAGGTTAGAATTGAGAGTACAGTATCACTCAATGTTATCAATATAGATGTTAAAAATGTAAGTACTGTAAGTATAAACGTTAGAAAACCAAAACATTAAGTTGGAAAAAAACTATTGTTTGCAAGTAGCTGCTTATTATACAAGTAGTAATTATTTTATTATTGCAAGAGGTAGAAGAAAGACAAACCAAAGAGCAATTACTAACAAATTAAATAAATACATACAAGCATTCTTTTCCTTGGAGATCAGCTATGAATCACTTCTACTTTGTTACCAGTAATGCAACTGCTCTCTCTACTGTGTTACAAAAGAGACATTGTTGGTTTGATTATGTCTTTCATTCCCTCTGTGTTTTAGGATGCACTTCAACCTGAGCCTCATGATTTATAAATGCTGAGGTTTTCCAAGTAAGCAATATGTTAAATACCAAGAGCAATTTCAGGCCCCAGTTTACAAAAGCAACCTGCAGCTCTGAGACGAGTGTTGATGCACAGTAGGTATGTAAGTTGTCAAATACCAATACCCATAACTAGACGGGACCTCAGCACACTGCCAGATTTCTTGCTTCTCTTGGTCCATCACTGATTGACTAATGAGAACAAAGCAACAAAGAACTTCCCAGGCATTTTCCCCCTCCTTTCTTTTCTGATTAACTTCTCTCATTTCCTTCATTCTACATATTCAGCCTTTCCTCTGCAAATCCAGCAGTTGTACTCAAGAATGTACAGAGCAAGAATGACTGCCAACTGAAACAGACTAATGCCAAGTTTACAGGGTAAATTCATTCACTGTCCTTGACCACAGTCCTCAAACCCACTGCTCCTAAACCAAAAGCAAGTCAGAAGACGTGAAAGTGTATGCATGCAGATAGGTTAATTGCCTTGGAGGCAGGTTAGCTACTCAGCAGTGCTAATTAGGGCACCCTAAGTACTCTGAAGAAGAAACCATGCCACTTCAATTTAGGAGGCAGCCAGAACAGGAACAGCAAGCAGCCTGCAACCTCATGCGTGCTCAGACTAAGTTGTAGTAATACACACATTCTAATACATGTTACTTCATCAATATAGGCAAAAATTGGATTTTTTTTTTAGATTACAGAAGCACTAATTTAGGATTATATTTTATTTCCTCCCAAATCCATTTACATTCTGTCTAAAATATAAAAATTCATATCCCTCTGATTTGGATTAAAATCATTAGCCCTGCTAACAACTCCAACTAAAGTTAAAATCAAGTAAACAATCAAAACTAAACCATTTAATTCATACAAGATGTCAGCTTTATACATATAAACCGAAGCAAATGACCTTTTCCCATATTTTCTCATCCTTTACTGATGCTGTACAAATATTTTCTTCATTGATTTCATCAGAAGTTTTGATGCGTTTGCACTGGAAGTCTTCCTTATTTCCTGAGCTTAACCTCTTCCTTTGAACAGTGTCTTGAGTTAAAAGAAGAGAAAAGAAAAGTTAAACATTTTACTTTACAAAAGCAGTGTCAAACACTTCATTAAAGGTTAACTTTTGATGAAATAGGTGAGGTCTTCACTCCAAAGCGCTCTATACAAGAAATATTAAATTGAGGGAAAAAAAAAGAGTTAAATGGAGCCACTCTCACCCCTCAGAATTTTAAAGGTGATTTATTTTTTTAATTGTAAAGATTTTTGGTGCATTCAAGAATGGAGCAAGGTAACTGTAAACCCAAGTAGGCCATTTATTTTAGTCACTGTTTATGTATACTGTCATAATCAATCGCCTTCATGAGCTATTTCATTAAGCATGGAATACTTAACATGATATTCTAAAATATTCTGCAAATGTTTCTAAGAGTCAAGACAAAATCTATACTTGAGAAACAGCTGAATGAATACTATTTTAATTGCATGTCATTAACAGGGCGAATTTGATTTAAATCAAATTGATTTAAATCAATTTTAATCAGTGGTCAGGAAGGTTCGATTTAATCACTGCTTTCTGCAAAAAGTGTGTTCTTCTCGTTTGATATCCTTTATTCATTTAACTTTTTGAAACTACACTTTCAGAGAGAGGCAAGGGCATCTTAACAAAAAAGTAAAAAATATGATTAAATAAAAAAAATTGATTTAAATAAAAAATCCATTTCTTAATTTTAAAAAATCATTGATTTTTATCCACCCTGGTCATTAACTACCAACAAAGGGATGCAGACACACTCTGTGATTCACTCTAGGGCACCAAGAATCTGTGTGGGGGAAATAAGTGAAACAAGCTGAGGTTATGAAAATGATCATGAAGGTTCATTCATGGTAGAAATAAATCTGTGTTACACAGGAAATTCAACTCCTTTTTTGGAAGAAATGCCATCTGTGTATTTGCCTCTTTGTTCAGATATTTGCTATGCAACTACTAAAGTTTTCAAAAGTTCTTGCTCTCAACAAGGAAATCCAGTGTTCCTAAAAGAACAAGTGAAAGCTGACACTGCAGAACTTGAAGAGACTTTTGTCTCCTGAATTTCGATCCAGCTCAGCTTCCTTCATAGATAGTACTTCTTGCTTAAGTGAACTAAATTTAAAATTGCACGGTAAGAATCAGATAATATTGGAACTCCTTGGATGCGTGCACGGGATCTGTAGCAAGCTTAAGCTGTTCAAGACTGCTGTTCAAAAGGATGATATTACATATACACTGTTTTTACTTTTAAACAAAGTTCAGGTATTGAAAAGTTGAAAAAGCAAAGAAGAAAGTTAAATGGAGCCTGCCTTATCCTGGAGTAGATGTTGGACAGCACTGTTCTTGAGAAATGCTTACCCCATGCTCTATAAAACTTTTCAACAGATGTGTAAGGTAGATACACATGCAAATAGAAAATCCTTCCTTGGCTACATTCTTCACAAGCAATGGTATGCATACACATACACACTTCTCTGTCTCTCTCTCACATACATATGTGTGCGCGCCCCTTTTTTTAAAAACACATCTATATGGGGCCAAGTCTCCATTTGCAGATGAGCAGTACAGTCTTGTTAGGGAGTGGCAACCACATTTTCTTAAGATTTCCATTTGCAGCGAGCATATTCCATATTACAAACCCCTCATTATTACTTACACTGTGGTTAGCTTCCCTAGTATCATTACCAGCAGTGATCACCACTCCTGACAAACTGAATGAATACAAAGACATACTAATGGCATAAGACAAGTGGGATATGCAGAGAATCACCCTGAATCTCAAGAGATACTAGGATCCATTAGGGTTTCTGTAGAGGTGAACTGATAAAGATTTTTTAGGCCAATACTGATCGCTGATTATTAACCAGCCATACTAGCCCATACTTACCTGTTTGCCAATATGCAGCCCAGCAGCTTGGAGAGCAGCATCTGGCTGGGAAGTCTGTGGGGCTGGGGGCGGGGGGCGACGCAGATCGAGGCATTCACAGCTGGGGCTGGGGCAGGTGCTTCACAGCCAGGGTGGGGCGGGGCACAGGACAGAGCCTCAAGCGGCTCGTCTGGGAAGTGCAGCACCTATCACTGTGCACACCCAGAGGGACGCACAGGGGGCACATGCCCCCCTGATATGTGCATGGGGCAAGGGTGGGCTTCATACTTGCGGCCAGGGCTGCACCAGCCTCTTCCTGGTGGGGGCTTGGCCAGGTGGGGCAGGCAGTGGCGGTGCTGGGAAGGAGGGCTACGAGGAGGGCTACAGCCACCCCAAAGTTTGCCATACCGTCTCCCTCCCCAGCGCCATCCACCCTGCCCCTGCCGGCCCCGAACACAGCCCTGGCCCAGCTCCCTGAGGTCCACTGTACCGGGACCCTTGGCTTTTGGGCCTCAGCTCTTATCTTGCCCCTCACAGGCTCTGGGCCCCTTGGCCCTGGTCTTGCCCTTCACGGGCTCTGGCCCTGCGCCCTAGTCTCTAAAAA